TATACAAAAGACTGAGCTGCAGATTGTTGTCTCTGTGGTGGCATGGCCTCGTTGCACGGCTGGGCACCAGCTCCTGGGAGCAAAAATCAGTGATTCGAAGGGGGCTCGTCACAGGTACAAGGAGGTGCCGAGTTGAAGAGTGCCCGTGCCTGTTGCAGAGGTGTGCCTCTGCGATGGGTCTCGCCCTGCTCTGAGCCAGGGAGCTCGGCTGGAGATGTTGCCTGTGGGACAATAAGGGACAACGGGCACAAACTGAAGCACAAGAAGTTCCGTCTGAACACGAGGAAGAACTTCTTCCCTCTGAGGGTGACGGAGCCCTGGCACAGGCTGCCCAGGGAGGTGGTGGAGTCTCCTTCTCTGGAGATATTCAAGACCCACCTGGACAAGGTCCTGTGCAGCCTGCTCTGGGTGACCCTGCTTCGGCAGGGGTCTTGGACTGGGTGACCCACAGAGGTCCCTTCCAACCCCGAACATTCTGTGATTCTGTGGGACGGTGGTGAGCAACACCCCCGAACACGCATGGGCCACCCTGGAGCTGCTGACCCCCCCATGCCCACCCTGCTCCGCGGGGCTGGCAGTGCCATCGCACCGGGCCAGGCGGTTCCTGTGCAGCTCCGGGGCTCTCAACAACTCTTCTTTATTTCAAAGAATTGGTTCAAAACATAAACCATGGAGGGCAAGTGCTCTGCAAGGTGCATCCTGGTAGCTAAGTATGTACGAAATGCGGCTTGGCAGCGTCTCCCGGCTGATGTCGGCGGCAGAGGGTGCAGCCCCGTCTCGGCAGCAAGCGTTTGCACGAGTAGCTCCTGGGGAAGGGCGAGCAGGTGGCTGGAGCAGGGAGCGATGCTCGGCCAAAGCTGTCTCCCTTTTCTCTCCCATCCTCCTCTCTTTGGAGGAGCTAGGGGATGGGTGACAGACCCAGTGACTGTTTTGCTGTCATTTAAATAGGGACATGATTAGCCCTTAAGTGGTGGACGCCTCCTGAAAACAAGGTGACGCTTAAACATTATTGAAAACCCTTATAAATTGCTTTTTCCTCTAATAGATTAGCATGGGTCCAGCTCTCCATGGTGTAGGTAACGGGTGTGAGTGATTTATTCTATTGGGGATTGTAACAGATGCTGTAAAATCATCTTGTAAGTATTTGAAAATCATTCATCTGTCTCTGACGTGTCTTAGCACGTACAGGAATGTTCTGTTTGGGGAAGTGAGGTCCTTATCCTGATTTATCTCGAGGTGCTTGTAAATGTTGCTGTAATTTCGTGTTATCAAATCATTTAGCTCTTCCTCTTCCAGAACGAAGTTATTTTATCTCATGCACCTTGTTTACTTCAAATTAGCCCTGAGGTTGGCCTGAAGTTGCACCTTGTTATTCCTCCACCTCCTGTCTCCGTCTTAGGCTCTGTCGGCAAATTTGAAGGTATAAGTAAATACTTTTTTGTTATTAATAGAATAATTTCCCCCTCCTACACACACGTTTTCTTTTCATTCCAGTCTTCGTTTTCCATGAGAAACTTGACATTGCAGTGCAAGCAGAAACCTCCCAAATTGCATGAAAACGCCTTAATTCTCCTAGCAACAAGGTCAGGGCTCAAATCCAGGACCTCTCTGCGAGCGTGGGGGAAATGGCCCTTCCAATTACCTGCTCCCCCTGCGGTACGGATCCGGTCGGTTCATCAGCACCTGGGTTTGGGTGGATTTGAAACTCAGCCATGGTATTGTTTAAAAATTCTCCATTCACTGGGGAAGGGTTTGTAGTGGGCTGAGCCCTGAGAAACCTGGGGCTGGTTTTATGGCTTTCCCATTGAAACCTGGTGGAACCCCATGGTGTTGACTGATTTCCCCCTTCCCCACTCATGTGGCTTTGATCAAACCCAGGGCTCGGAGAACGGCCCCCCCAGGAACTGGAACCACTGAGCTTTGCCCAGTTCTGCTGTTCATTAAAGAGTCTGTGAGCTTCCAACTGTAGATGATAAAATTAGGACCTTTGTGCCCAGCCCAGTCCTATGGCAGAGCTGGCTTTGCCCCCATGTAGGGAGGACACATAGGGTACACGGCCTCTGTTTGATGCATGTTTGATGCAGAGGTTGCCGTGATCTCTCCACCCTCTAAATGAGCCCTACCCATGGTAACGAAACCCTTTAGGCAAGATGGTGCGTTAATGATTTTAGGGTAAACATCGCATACTATTGCACCGATTGAACTGAAGCTCTGCTGAAGGTACTAAGCCAGGGAGGGATGGCTGCTCCTGGAGGCTGGTGATGATGAAGATTTTCCCCTGTTGTTGCCCGTGTGACTCCAGCTTGGGTTGTTGTGCCTGGTGGTTCCCGTCTTGCAGCTCTGTTTGTAGCTCGTATGCAGTTATTTGGGGATCAGCGGTGCAAGGAAGCCTCAGCCAGCTCGCGCCCAGGGGCTTCCCTTGTGTCCCGCGGTCCCTGCCCTTCGCACAGACTGCACCAAACTCTGCTGTGATTGTACAGGACTTTTTAGGAAGACTTCTAGGAAAGAGCAAGTTGACCTGGCCAGCTCCTCGCCCCAGCCGTCGTGCCCAGAGGAGCCCCTGGGCAGAGCCACTGCAGGTGCTGTTCTGGTGACACTGCTGTGGCTCTCCTATCCCCCTCGCATGCGATGGGTGAAGCAGCTAAAGGCCGGGAGGGTCTGGTACTGTTTAGTTTGTGCAGAGGGAGTTTAATAGCAAGCCTAGCAGTATGCACAGGCCTGCAGTAATGAAAAACTCATTATTTGACTTCAGCAGTGAGCTGGATTGGGCTAGTACTATGATGGAAATACTTCCTTTGGCTTTGAGCATTAGATTAAGTCCTGTAGGATGCTCCATACTGTGCTCATCCCTGTCCAGAATCCATAAAACACCCAGAGCTGAGACAGCATCCAGGGCTGCAGTGAGCCTGTGTCTACTCCCTAATATCTTTTGACGCGTAAAACAAAGCGCACACCACGATGCATGATGCTTGGGGTGCAGCACCAGTAACTCAGCAGTTAAAGGGCAAAACATATTTTCTGGCAGAAGATGATAAGCAAACAGAATTTCCTCTGTTCCAAACCACTTAAAGATGCTGTTGTGTGATGCTGCAGCTCTCTCCGTGTGCTGTTTGAACTGGAGTCCTGATTCCAGCCCAAGGTCCACGTGCTGCCACGTTCAAAGTCCAGCTCTGGGTCTGTTAGTCTGGATTTCCAAGCCAAACTGAACCCTGTGTGGTGGGTTGACCCTGGCTGGATGGTGAGTGCCCACCAAAGCCACTCTGTCACTTCTCCCCTCAGCCGGACAGGGGAGAGAAAATATGGCGAAAGGCTTGTGGGTCGAGATAAGGGCAAGGAGAGATCACTCACCAATTACCATCACAGGCAAAACAGACTCACTTTGGGGAAATTAATTTATTGCCAATTGAATCAGGGTAGGGTAATGAAAAATAAAAACTAAAACACCTTTCCCCCACCCCTCCCTTCTTCCCAGGCTCGGCTTCACTCCCAACTTCTCTCCCTCCTCCCCCTGAGCAGTGCAGGGGGATGCGGAATGGGGGTTGTGGTCAGTTCATCACACGTTGGCTCTGACACTTTGTCCTCTTCACTCTCTGCCCCTGCTCTGGTGTGGGCTCCTCTCCCCAGAGGTCCACAGGTCCTGGCAGGAGCTTGCTCCAGCGTGGGCTCCCCACAGGGTCACAGCCTGCTTCGGGCATCCCTTTGCTCCGGCATGGGGTCCTCCCTGGGGTGCAGGTGTGGATCTGCTCCCCCATGGGCCTCCCTGGCTGCAGGGACAGCCTGCCTCACCATGGTCTGCTCCATGGGCTGCAGGGAACCTCTGCTCCAGGGCCGGGAGCACCTCCTGCCCTCCTTCTGCACTGACCTTGGGGTCTGCAGAGCTGCTCTTCTCACACATTCTCTCTCCTCTCTTCTGCGTCTAATCCTGGCTCCCTCCATGAGGAAGAATGTAATTTAGGGTCATGGTTTCCTAAGCCAGGTACCTGAGGTCTGGGTGGCCGCTTTTAGGCTGAGATGGAAAGCTGGGCAAAGGGGAAGGACCTACCACCAGAGACAAAGGCATCTTCCAAACAAAAACCAACCCTGAGAGAGCAGAGGTGTAAAATTGGGCATTTGCGTCACCCGCTCTGGCAGTGGAGCTGGGGTGGGTCTGGTGGCTGGGGACACTGCTGCCCTGTAGTCCTCCAGCTTCAGTCGCATCAGGATGCCGGTGGGATGCCAGCCCATGCAGGGAGCCACTCCGGCATGGGAACGGCCCTTCCCGCTGCTGATGTCGGTCAGGGGTGCGAGCTGGAGCCCAGCCTGGGGTGTGCAATGCGGGTCCAAAATGACCAGTTGGATCAGGGACAGGAGTGGGGTCGGGGACCTTGGCGCATGCGTCACCCCTCAAGATGATCCACAGAGCTCCACGCATGGTTTATTGGCCAGGTGTCGTGCCCGGGATGCGGCGGGGAAGAGTTTTCAAAGCACTGGAGAGGCTGAGACTAAGGCTTGTAACGATTTTAGTGGGATTTGGGTAGTTATGGATGCAAGACCGCAAGGCAATTCAGAAAACATATCAAAAGCGAGCGGTGGAAGTGGCAACGCTGTTCTTTGGCCCATATGAGAATCTGATATTTTAATTTTTTTCTGATCAAGTGTGATGTTTCCCTGGCACGAGTTCAGTTCATCTTCCTTTCCTAATGGAAGAAGCAAAGCTCAATGTCTCGCTTTGCTTGCGGTTGAAGGAGCTGGACTGGATGAGCTTGACTGGTGTCTTTGAAAAGTCTTTCTCTCCTTGGATAGGGGCGTTTAAAAAAAATGAAATGATTTCATCGTTTTCCTCATGCTTTTTAAAAATTCATTTCTATTTCAGCTGATGCTTGTTACGGCTCCTATTAACAACGCTTGAACCAGAAACAAGCTCCAGATGTGATGATTTTATTTATGCCAAATTGGGTTTTGGTCACTGAGCTTGCCTTTGGATAATGAATTTTTCGTTTTATTTTTTTTTCCTTTTTCAGCCCGATGGCACCAGCAAGGAGTGTGTCTTCATTGAGAAAGTCCTAGAAAACAACTATACGGCACTGATGTCGGCAAAATATTCAGGCTGGTATGTTGGATTCACCAAAAAAGGGAGGCCACGGAAAGGGCCCAAGACCCGGGAAAACCAGCAAGATGTACATTTCATGAAGAGGTACCCAAAGGGGCAAGTGGAGATACAGAAACCTTTCAAGTACACAACAGTCACCAAGAGGACTAAGAGAATACGACCCACCAACCCCAGTTAAAAATAGACAAAAACAGTGTCACAATAATAAACCACAAAAAAAAAAACTGCACCAGAGGAATATTTTTACATTAAAAATAAGGAAGAAGCTTTATTTTTGTTCATTGTGTTTAAAAAAAAAATAAAAATAAAAAAAATTAATAAAAGACTAGATGGCAAACGCTGGGGAAAAGCTGTTAGGGATTTATTGTGACTTGAAAAACGAAATGAACTGCTCTATTTAAATTGACTTCTTGTTGTTGATGACACACAGGTGCTTATTTTGCTTTTTTGGAAAGGACAACTTTTCAAGCATATCCCCAGAGGAAAAAAAAAAAGGTAATTATTAAAAATAAATAAATAAAACCAAAGAAAACCAAAGTTCTTTCCCAAAGTTACTGAGACCCTGGCCCCGAAAAGTGCCGGTTTTTGCAGTAATCTATTTATTGTCTGCTGCGCACCGGCCCAAGACAAGATGGTGTGTGCCGCAGTGACTGAGTTTCCGTGGAGTTCTCGACGCATCGATCTTCTGTAACCTTTCTGACGACATAAGGTGTCACGGCTCTGTGATCCTGCATTATGCTCAGTTCTGGAGAATGCTGCTAAATACATTCAAGTGACTACAAGATGACCTAGTACACCAATGATAAGGGAATATTTTAAAACCAGCTATATTATATATATTATATATATATAAGCTATTTATTTCACCTCTCTGTATATTGCAGTTCCATGAACCAAGTATTACTGCCTCAACAATTAAAAAATTATTTAAAACACATGTACATATTTTTGCTGTTCACACTTCTTTCCCTTCCCTGAGAAGTGTTTTTTTTTAATGCATATTTATCTTTTATGTGAGGGTAGCAGGATACGTTCGGGGTATTTTTCCCCACTATAAACTTAATTGCTAATTCTGTAATTCCTCCTGTTCCTTAATACCATCTTCCTCCTCCTCTCTCATTGTTCCCACAAGGAAGAAATCTTGCATGGGGTGATGATGGGCTGACAGCGGGGAGTCCACGCTGGTATTTTTCAAGAGAAGGAGTTAAATTTGATACTTCTCAGTCCAGCGAATATTTCCTAAAGCTTTGGCCAAGCAGAAGGTAAACTGGAAAATTAGCATCTGACTCAATTAACACGTACTTACGTGTGGCTTGCGTTTCCTTCCCTGAAGGTTTGGAGACAGGCTGTTTGCTTTGGCTATTTAATTCAATATTCTATCTTTTAAAACTTCCCCTAGATGAACCAAATCCCCCTCCCTCATCCTGTGTAGCTCTCCCAGCCCTTTGGTGACTTGCTCCCCTCGTCAGTCCAGCCAGCTTTCCTCCCAGGTGTTCTGCACGGGACTTGGACGGTGTAAAGCCACGAGGTGTGGATCTGTACCTACAGACGGACCCACGCGTGCGTTGGGTGAGACAGCACTAAACAGAGAGTGGGAAAAAAGAAGGACAATGAAGTAAGTGACCTCAAATTTTAGCTGAAATGACAACTGAGCCCATGTGAAGCTTTAAGGAGAAGCTTGCCTGACTTTTTCCTTCTCCCCGTGTGCAGACGTTGCTGCACTCCCCGTTTCCAGCCAGGGCTGAAAATGCTCAAAGCCACTAAGAAAGCTTTTTCTTGTTAATCAGAACTGCTCTCCCCAGAACAAGCTTTCTCAAGATAACTTTGAGAGCTGCAGCCAAATCCTGCAGATCAAAGCCATTTGGGAGATGGTGCAGATAAGCATGCAAGCTTGAGGATGCTTATCTGAACCAATCTCCAAACCTCGCAAGCCTAGAGAAAAATGAACAGTGCTAAACGGGGTCATTTCGTGCTGCTCCACAAAAAGCTGGGCAGCCTTACAGGTGATGCCTTCACCCCAGCTAGGCACGGGCAGTCACTCGAGCGGCCCCTCTCCCAGTAAATATACTGGGAGCTGCTCTCCTGGCGTACCTGGAGACCAGCACTGAAGCGGGACCCGATGGCACGGTGGTGGAATTGGTTGGTGGGGGCTGGAAGGCTTTGCCAGCTTTGCTTTCAGATTGATTCATGTGGGAGAGATTTGGGGAAAGTTCAGAGGAGCACTGGGGGTGGAGGACTGGGAGCGGCTGGAGACTTGCTCTATTAGTACCTCCGAGAGGAGAAACCCAGTTGATTGTTCCAGAGTGAGAAAGGATTTATGGGTGCCTTTTTTCTCCTTGAAATATCACCAAGGCCCGTGGCACTGACGGTTTCACTGTCAGAACTACAGGGTTTGTTTGCCATTGGGGAAACTCGAAGGGGTGGAGGCAGTAAATGCTTGAGAAGGCTGGGCAGAAGGGATCTCCTGTGCGGCCGAGAGCAGCTAGGGAGGATCTGCTGCCTGTCCTGCAATGCCCACTGGGTTTGGAGACAGGAACGTGGGAACTAGGGACCATGCAATTGTCACTAGGGGCCTCTGGCGCTCGTGTTGTTGGTTTGCAAGAATATTTACTGGACAGCAGTGAGATGGGTTCCTTGGGCTGTGAAAAGGTAGCGTGGTGAGGTGCTCATCTGGGTTAGGTGCTGTCGGAGATTTGTTGGCTGAGATTGGTGTGCATTGAGTATTCGTATTTGAACATCTGCTCTTTAGGCTTTATTAACAACAACAAAAGCAGGGACAAAGATGAGAATAAATCACACCGCATTCCCTCCAGAGGAACTTCACGTTGGGCAAAAGGGTGCTCTGGTGAGGAGATGTTCAAGAAATGAACAGAAACAGGGGAAATCCGTCACGTGCCCAGTGACGGACGGCCTTGTGCTTGCCGACCACCAGGCATGTGGTGTTTCTGCGTCTGGGTTGTGCTTGGTGGTTAGGCCAGCGGTTGCAGGTGGTTGTCAACATCCCTGCTGGAGAAGTCTCTCTGCTGACATCCGGATTAGAGTAGAAGCTTTTCTGTGGTGTTTAACATTTCTTCCTTTCAGAAAGTCCTCGGACTCCTTGAATATGAGCTGAAATTCCCTGTGTAGGCTATTTGATTTACTTTATAATTGAAAATTGTTAATGAGGATTTAATTACTACTGTGGAAATAACCTCAGCAGTGAGGGGCGTAACACTAGGCGATTGCTTGAAGCAGCTGATGGCCTGAAAGTGTGTGGAGCTCTGGGTTGGGCACACTTTAAACACTGCTTAACTGGATTTAATAAAAGCATATTGTAGCTACTGCTTCAGAAATGCTTCTAGATTTGTAGCAGTGTTTTCATAGCTGAGATCAGACAGTGGCACGCTTTGGTAACGCCGTGGTCGGCTCTGTCATGAAGCTGGGTGCAGACGCTGCTGGGCATGACGAAATGTGAGTCCATCCCAGTAGGGAGGCTTTGTAGGTCCAGGGAAGTTTCTTGTCAGTGCTTTGAGTGTGTTGCACAAACCAGACTGCTGTTTGGTGAGACCTTCCAGGTGCTGTTCCTGTGATGGTGAAGGGTTGGCTGTCAAAGCTCAGGTGGGCTCTGCGCCTGGTCCAAGTAGGACAAACCTTTCATCATGACGTTGTCATGACCTGCATGGGGCTCACCGCTGTGTAAGCAGACAAAGAGTGTCCTGGTCCCTGTGCAGGGTGTCTTCCAGCTCACCAGGGACCTTTCCTGGGCCACAGAGCTGTCAGCGAGTGGGAGCAGTTGACCAAGTTGACATTCCTGCAGCTGGAGCCCCGAAGCTGCCATGGTCTTTCCTGCTTGACAGCTGGTAGTTTTGTTCTGCCTCTGCCTTGTTGATGCAAATGTAGGTGGCACTGCAGGCTCCGCACTGTGAAGCTAGGCAGTTGCTGCACCTGGTCTGCCCCGTTTGAGCCTCATCTGCCCCTCTTGCCAACAGTCAGCTTTTGGCAACGCTTCCTTCAGAACCACGAGCATGTGAAACTTGGTGCTCGTTTTCTTGGGCTGTCCTTGCAGTCTTCTTTAGCTCAGGATCACCTCTGTCGCGCCGGTTCACAGGCTCGCAGTTAGAAATGAGCTTTTTGCAGATGTGAAGCAGTGGGGAAGCCTTTTCCAGGACACCCTTGCAGTTTTAGCTGTGCCCTTCTGCAAGCAGGGAATTAGTGCACCTGCCCAGAGGTGCGGCCTACCTATGCAGAGGGCTCAGTCCCTTCACCTACATCACCTCTTGCATGCCAGTGTGTATGATACCTGCACAATTAATACTAACTTTTGGGAGTGTAGCTCATACACCCCTCCAATAAATGTCACAAGGTGAGGTGAGGTGAGGAAGAAGCCATCGAGACAAAAATGACAAAGTCTGGGGAAGGAATGCTGCCCTAAAGCTCAGTGATGGGAAGATAAGACCAAGTTTTTCTGTCCATGGCTTCTGGAATTAAGGCCATAGCCTAAATGAGCTGGATGCTTTAGTGCCCGTGAACCCGTCTGTAGGGAGATGCATGTGGGAGTGGAGCAGAGCTTGGGGAGGATCCTGGAAAGCACGGCGAGGCCTGAGCTCAGCTCACTCCTGCTGGCTGCACCTCCTCGAATCATCTTTCTCTTTGCAATAGCTTATTTACCTTGGCTTGCAGAAACACGGCAAGATGGAAGTTAGGTTTGGTTTAAGCAAATGCACATTCTACACCAGCTCTCAGCGCAAGGCTTGGCAGGCACATGCGTGTGCATGTGGTGGTGTTTTGCCCCGTGGATGTCCATCAGCTTTCCCAGATGCACCAAGTGTTTTGGTATCTCTGTACTTTCACAAAAGCAGTGGAATGAGTTTTCAGCCAGGACCTCAGCCTCCAGCTGGAGAAGATGCTCTAGTGGTTTTTCTTGTGTAGGAGAGTTTGTCCATCGAGAAAGATCTGACTCTGAGCAAACGGAGTCAGCTCTAGGTGGGATAGGTTGGGTAACAGAAAACGTACATGAATTTGGCTCTAAGAGCATACTATGTTACTGTACCTACCTTTATAAAACAAGGTTGTAATATGTGAAAAAGTGTGTGTGGGTGGAGTGGTGGTTGTTCTTTTTTAGGCCACTGAATTATTCTACAATCCAGGTATCTGCTGGTGAAGGAGGAGGCGGCGTGTGAATGCTGGGTGTTTAGGGCTGTAAACACCCCCTGCAAAGCCCTTTGCCTATCT